ATTTAAAAGAAAAGGATTTTTTTTATTATTATGATGTTAAGTGCTCAAGGAAGAGAAGAGTTTTCAGTTGTCTTTTAAATACTGACAGGGATTCTGCATTCCGGATGAGGGTGGTACCGTGGTACCGTGAATGAGAACGTTCTGGAAAGTGATTTTGAGACTCTCTGGGATGGTACCACGAGCCGTCGCTCATTGACTAATCGTAGGCCTCTGCTAGGGATGTAGACTTGTAGTAATGAGTGGAAGTAGGAGCGAGCTGATCCTGTGGCCAATCTGTACACAAATGTCAATGCTTTGAACTTGATGCGAGCAGCGAGTGGCAGCCAGTGCAGAGAGATGAACAGAGTGACGTGGGCCCTTTTGGGCTCGTTGAAGACCAGACGAGCTGCAGCATTCTGGGTCATTTGTAGAGGTTTAGTTGCACATGATGGAAGTCCAGCCAGAAAAGCATTGCAGTAATCAAGCTTATGACTAGGGCCTGGACAAGAAGCTATGTTGCATGCTCAGTTAGGAAAGGCATGATCTTCCTGATGTTGTGCATAGCAAACCTGCATGATCTAGCTGTCTTTGAAATGTGGTCTGTGAAGGTCAGCAGATCCAGGAGGATAAGGACTGATGATTTGGAAGCAGCTTTAGCGATCCGCAAGGCTTCGGTGACCGACAGCAATGCAGTCTCGGTTGAATGCCCTTTCTTGAAGCCGGATTGGTTGACATCCAGCTGAGTGTTCAGGGACAGGAAAGATGATACTTGGTTGAAAGCAACTCGTTCAAGTGTTTTTGCAATGAATAGTAGGAGAGAGAGAGAGGTCTATAGTTTACTAAGAGTGATGTGTTCAGTGTTTATTTTTTAAGCAGTGGAGTTACCCGAGCCTGCTTAAATGCTGTAGGTAAAAAATGCCAGTGTGGAGGGATGAGTTTATGTGTGAGAGCTGGAAGAAGTGTAGGAGAGATTGCTTGGAGCAGATATGATGGGATGGGATCAAGAGGGCAGGTGGTAGGATGACTGGAGAGGAGAAGCTTAGATACTTCTTCCTCGGTTAGTGGTGTGAAGGAGAAGAGAGGGTTGTTGGCTGGGGGAGAGGGTAGTCTGGGTTCCTGTGTGTGTGGCGCTGAGAACTGACTGCTGATAGTTGTAGTTTTGTTAGTGTGTTAGAGGCACTGTTGATCTTGTTGTGGAAGTATGAAGATTTTGCAGCATGAACTTCAGTGGAAAAGGCAGAAAGCAGAGATCGGTACCTACTGAGGTCAGATGTGTGCCATTTCCTCTCCTCTGCCCTGAGTTCAGTCTGGTGTTCACGAAGAACCTCAGATGACCAGGGGTTGGAGGTAGTAACGTGTGCTTGCCTGGTGGAGAGAGGGCAGATGTTGTCTAAAGACAAGGTTAGAATGGAGCATGAAGTATCTGTTGCAGTATTCACATCCAGGGATGAGAAATGTGAGGGTGAAGGAAGAGAAGATGACACAGCAGAGGAAAGATGGGATGGAGAAAGAGTGCACGGGTTTTGCCTGAAAGTAACTGCTAGTGGAGTTGGTGGTGTGTGGGTAATAAGTTGTAGATTGAAGGTAATGAGTAAATGATCTGAAACGTGGAGAGGTTTCACCAAAATGTTGTCTGTGATGCAGTTGCGTGTGTAGACCATGTCCAGTTGGTTGCCTGACTTGTGTGTACCTGTGGTGATGAGCCATTTGAGATCAAAGGAAGCTAGGAGAGAGATGAAGTCTGCAGCATATGGCTTCTCTAAATGAATGTTGAAGTCGCCTGTACTGTAATAGCATCTTGTACCGCAAAACATTGACAAGCTTAAACAAACTCCAATACATTCAGAACTCTGCTGCTCGTCTACTGACCCACTCCCACACCCGTGATCACATCACTCCAGTCCTTAAGAACCTCCATTGGCTCCCGGGCCCCAGAACAAATTTAATTCAAGATCCTTCTCCTTACACAAATATCCCTTTATAACCAGGCCCCTTCCTACCTGACTGACCTGCTCCACTGCCACAACCCATCTCGTTGCCTCCGCTCTTCTGATGCAAACCTCTTGACTCCCAGGACCAAACACCGGACCTGGGGTAATAGAGCCTTCTCAGTCGCTGCCCCCTCCCTCTGGAACTCTTTACCCCCAAAAATCTGTGACTGCACTGACCTTGCAAAATTCGAAACCTTGACACGAACACATCTTTTTAAAATTGATTTTAATGTTTAAATTAATCCTGTCTGTTTTTAGTGTTTCTTACTTTCTATTGTGTTTCTTCTGTCTTTGAGTACTTAGAAAAGCTCTTACAAATTAAATGTATTATTATTTAGAAGCGAAAGCTAGTTCTCTGTGTCAGATTTCCTCCTTTATCATTCCAGTTCCAGCAGCAGCACCATCGACATGGGAGTAGTGTGACGTAATCACTGCCTGACAGAATATATAATTAATGCTTTGTGCTGAGACCAATAGTCTCTCTCTTCACACCAGCACCAGAGACAAAGGAAGAGATGAGAGAGAAAGAGAGAGTGCCCGCTAAGGCTGCTGAAAATCTTTTGCTTTGATTGCACTGAGATCTGCCTTTGTTATTGGCTGCTGCTTGTTCTTTGTTTCTCTCTTCAGTTTATCTCCTCTACCACTCCCCTATTTATATCTTTATCTCCAAAGGGGATTGTGAGAATGCAAGTGGGTATCTGTTAAAGACAGTTTTCTCATCCCTTCTGTTGTGACTAGGAACGATCTAACCTCCACCTCCTGCTGTGCCTTGGAATATACTGTCACTTGGATTTATGTTTGTCATTCATAAGCTTCTGGGGGATTCAATAGAACTTGGATGTTGTTGTTTACTTGAGGAATTTGTTTTTCTTCATTTGTCACACGAGGATCATGATTGGATGTTTGTACTATTTCTAGTGCTTTTTGCATAATAGTGGATTCTGGTACATTCTTCCTGAGGTAAAAGCTCTGGGAAGGACCTGCAGTAATTGAGACTATCAGGAGTGTCAGAAATAACCAGGAGTCAGTTTAGAAATAGACAGTGATATTATTTACAGAAACACTGACAGGTGACTCTGTTGTTTAGTCTGAAAGGGAGATTAAGTTCATCTGAGGCCATGAAGAAAATCTGGTCAAAGAAAAGATTCCAGGTGAGTCGAAGCAGTCTATCCAGATAAATAACTTCAGAAACTTTACAAATTTACCTTTCGAGATTTTTATTACATTTGGCAAGCAATGTAAAATAAGTTGTATAGGTCTGTTATAGTTCCTTTTTTATGTACAGCCAGTACAATGACTTTAAAACAACAGAACTGATGGCACAGAAACAACGTTATTGTTGTTTTTTCATGTCAGACATTTTTTAGTTATTTGCCTTTATTGTGAATAATAAACAATTTCTCACGCACTGAAAAGACTATACCCATAGGAACATCCTAGTTGCCTTGGTAGCAATGTGGGAGTGCATTTAAAAAGCTGCACGCCAGCATGAGAATTGACAAATGGGGAAAAAGCATATAGGCATTCTGTTATATACTATAGTTATCAGTCCTGTGTCATCACCATATATTTATGTATAGACTGTTGAATGAAAGCCACATAAAATTACACTACTGGCATAACCCTATAGATGCAACAAGCAGGCTAAGAAAAAAAAAATATTTACTAATTAGCACTTCTCAAAATTAACAGACAGCCTTTTGTTTATTTTATTTTATTTTATTTTTTTGTCTTTCCAGAGAGCTGGGCATTCTAGCTGGACGTTTGGGAGATTCACTCATGGTGTGTTTTGCTTACAACAAAACTGTAGAAAGTCCAAAATCAGAAGCTTTTTTCTTACAAATGTAACAATTAAAGTGTGCGCACAATCTTGCCATAGATGGTTAAACAGGCTTTAAAATAGTTGCCAAGAAAATATTTCTGTAGGTACATTTTTATATATTGACATCACAAATTGTTGGGTGCAACACATAATAAGGCTTGAACGATTATACAATTTAGAAATTTAGCCTGTGTGTGTGTGTGTGTGTGTGAGAGAGAGAGCATGTGTGTTATGTTTATGCTCCCACACAAGTACATGTCTGCAGACATTGGTTTCTATAGTAACAGTCTTCTCTTGTCCACCTCTGCTTGCTGCCGTTATGGAAGTGAAGTTTTTCGCTTGTGTAGGAAGCAAAGCAATGGTAATTGTTGTTATACATTTCTAAAATCCTAATCTTTAATTACTGGGCTCTTTGATTTTTTGGGGGGATTGCAGCCATACAATATAATACACAGAACTGTACTGTAGGTTTTCATTTGGAAAGCTAGTTTCAGTTTGATTTACATTATTAAACTTAAAGGGATAGTTCACCCAAAAATGAAAAATAAGTCTTTAATTACTCACCCCAATGCTGTACCAACCCCGTAAGACCTTTGTTCATCTTCGGAACACAAATTACGATATTTTTGATTAAATTTGAGAGCTGGAACACTCCTACATAGGCACCCTAGGGATGTGACTGCAGTGGCTCAACTATAAGTTTATCAAGCGACGAGAATACTTTTTGTGTGAAAAAACCCCCAACAAAAATAACAACTTTATTTGACTATACTTTTCTTTATTGTAGGCCTGAGACGAGAGTTCAAGAGATTTCCACGACGCTTGAACTCTCGTCTCAGACCCAGAAGGAAGAAAAGGAATAGTCGAATAAAGTTGTTATTTATTTATTTATTTATTTTTTTTTTTATTTTTTTTTGGGGGGGGGATGTTCAGCACAAAAAGTATTCTCGTCGCTTGATAAATTATAGTTGAGCCACTGTAGTCACATGGAATACTTAATTTTCATTTTTGGGTGAAAAAGCATTTAGTAATAAGCTTGCTCTGCAGATGTCTTTCTTTCTTTCTTTCTTTCTTTCTTTCTTTCTTTCTTTCTTTCTTTCTTTCTTTCTTTCTTTCTTTCTTTCTTTCATAGGAAAGCATCTATGCTACTGTATGTATGTTTTGTTTGTAAACATGCCCATTTCAACATGCCAAACCCATTCCTGTAGACTCAAACAGTACAGAAGATGAAAGTGCAGAGCCTCAGGTTTCCATGGAGATGAAGGAACAGTTCATGCCTCCTCAAGCAATCAACAGTCAACCGACTGGTAAGAACATACTGAGTGTTTTTTTTCTCTTCAGCAATATTCAGTTTGTAGCATCAATTTCCACATGTGGCCACAAAATCATAACAAGGTGTTTTAATAATCACTATATTCTAACAAAAGAAACTATAATCATATACAGCATGGAAAACTAAAAATGTGATGGGTAAACTATGGAAGCTTGCTTCTATCACAGAATAAAAAAAATTAAATAAATTTCAACATTTATATCTTGTAATTAAAATTTCATGCAATTCAGCAAATTATGTCAGAATTGCATGATATAAATTTGCAATTCTGACTAGTCTGACTTCATTGCTAGTTTAGCTACACTCTAAGAAAAAATGGTTTGTTGGGGTTCTATATATGAAGAATAGGGTTCTTTACTCAACTCCAAAGAACCTTTTATGCTAAAAAGGTTCTATAATGACAAGAAAGAACCCTTTTGGCACAAGGTTCTTTATATTCATTCATATATTACATTATTCTGCAACATTTAGATTATTGTTTATTAAACTGTTGTAGTAACTTAATATCACATTTTAATCATGCAGATTTTTTGAGGAAAAAAACCCTGAAATGGCACTATTCATGTTGTCTTGTGATATTGATTAATTACATAAAATTATATAAATATATACATTTTCTAACCCCCATATCTTGAATTTTGTGATCATTCACATGCATTCATATATTTATTTTAGGGTCTTGATGTTTGTCAATAATATGAAATATTTAATCTGGAAAGGACAAAACAAGTGATAATGAATGAACCCAAAAGGTTCCATATAAAACCTTTTTCCTGGTTACAAAGAACCCTAAAGCGTTCTTATTATTGCACCCTTTAAAAAGGGTTATGTATAGAACCTTTTTCCTTGTTACAAAGAACCCTGAAGGGTTCTTATTATTGAACCATTAAAAAGGGTTCTGTATAGAAATTTTTTAGGGGTTCCAATTTATTTTCTCAGAATTCTGAGATATAAACTCGCAATTGTGAGTTATAAAGTACAGGCTCAATCCAGATGGTTGTCGTGCTGGTCCACTAGGGAGACCACACTGTAGTTGCAGCCGTGATGTGTGCTGACGCTCCAAGTACACTGCAGCCATTAACGCCGGACAGATGGGGAGTCACACCACCATATGGAAAGAAGCTTAAATGGATGGAGAAGCATAGTTTACTGTAAAGCTACGTCTTAGTTTTGCTTATCTTGGTGAAAGCCTAGTACAAATCAGCATGAAGTTTTAACATATACTCTCGTGTAATTAAAATCGGTTCTGAGGAAAAAAAATACTGTTGATATCTCTCAATTCTGACTTGCAATTGTGTGTTATAAAATCCGAATTGTGGGATGTAAAGTCAGAATTGCGAGAGATAGAGATAATTCTTAGTAAGAGTTTGCGAAATGTAAAATGAAGAATTAAATGTAAACCTGCAATTGTGCGAAAACAGTTTGTGAGATACAAAAGTTATAAAGTTATCTCAATTTCCTTTTTTTTAATTTTTATTCTATGGCAGAAACAAGCTTCCAAAGTAAACCCTCCAACAAAGCTCAGAATTCATATTTAACATCCATTCAACAGATTGATAAAACTTATAAAAATTACATTACACTACATTATTGTAATATAACAGATGATTATATATTTTCAGGCAGGGGGAGAGCAATGCTTTCCCAAATCCCAAGTGATGGTCTCGTAATGGAGAGGGAAATGCGAACCTTGGGCTCTAGAGCTCCTGGTCTTGAGGCTCCCTTGTCACCTGCAAGGCAAGCAAATGCTGGGTGTGTTGAGAGCCCTCCGGTCAGACACCTGGGGATTGACGCTCTTGTGCGGGCCTCACAAATAAGTGTGTACTACATTGCAGTGGGGTCAGAGGAGAATATGTCTTTAGCCAGTGACTACTATGGCAGTGTTTTGAGCCTCTATCGAAGAAGGACCTTTTCCATTTACAGTGTTCAAGAATGAGTGCTGGCATGCTGGATATGAAAAGGCACAAATTTACTTGAATTAGGGGGGGCAACATTTTTTTTTTCAATTTAGTTTACAACGGGTCTAAAGAAACATTTTAAAAATAATTTCCATTACATTATTGTTTTCATTTAGTGCACTTTCCTCAGACTCCACTTGCATTATGTTTTGATATGCTGTGATAATGTTTGCCATGGCTTTTTTTACAAACCTTTTTGCATGCCTTTTGTTTTATTTTTAGATTTGAAACTTCCACAATGTTTTATATGTTTCAACATGTTTTTCTGTGCATGCTGTGTTTGACCATTTTTTTTATTTTGCACTTTGCCATTTTATTATTTTTACTTCCCGTCATAACACAACATTTTCCACAATCACCCTCATTTCAGGGGCCAATTGGACTTTGAAACAAGGGAAGCTTCTTTATTTGTCCAAACCCAGCCATTCCAAAAAGCTCAAAGCCCCATTACCTTAAGTGGTGTAGATCGAACAACTGCCCACAAATGCACCAAAACAGCCATGAATGGATCTGAACTTCATGTTAAGATATCAAAAATCTCCACTTCATCTCAAAGCAGTGGTTCCCAAGAAGCATCCTCTATCCAAAGGCCCAAAGTGACACAGCAATGTTCCAAAATTTTACACAAAGTGAGAGCTTTTGAGGAACAAAGCCACAGCAGTAACATTCCAAAGGTGTCTTCATCAAGACTTTCATGGGGTTTCAATCGAACATCATCGTGCAGGTCTGAGAATGAAAGGAGTAAAGCAGGGACGCCCCAAGACAAGAGTGATGTAGCACTTAAGAGGTCTTTCTTCAAGCAGAAAGCATCCTCTCTGGAGGAACAGTCAACCTATGTAGAGAAAGGTTTTCAGAGTAAACTCTCAGAAGAGCTTCACAGAATAAAGAAACTTGTCGGAAAGTCCAACATCAAGAAAGCCTTTTCAATGGATCAGCTCACCCAGACTGACAAACAGTCTACTAGAAACACTGAGTCAGTTCAAGCCCAGATAATTCAGAAGGTGCAAGATACAAGAGAGAAAAAATATACTAATTCAAGTAATTTATCAGAGGCAAAAAAACCATCCTCCACCTTGGAAAAGGAAGAATCACCAGACCTACCGATAAAGAAAATGCCAGAGGACTCAACACAACATGAAAGGAAAGCACCCCCTGATATTACAGAAAACCAGTCCAGGATTAATTCTAACCCTGGGCGATTGTTAGACAGAAAAGTCATCAATGAAAAGGTTGCTTTCAGTAAAATACCAGGACAGTGTTCACCAAGGGTACCAAGAATAAATGCATCCTGCAAATTACCAAAGTCACCTGTAGAAATACCACCTTCCCAACACAAAATGCAAGTGGGTTTGTTGCAAGCACCCCTAAAACCTCCAAGGTTGTTTGGTTCAGTTTCCACGCTCCCAAAATCATTTAAGGAGAAAGAGGAGAAAAAAGACTCATTACTTGCACCTAAAGTAACCATACCTACTATTGTGGTTGAAAATAAGCCTGTGGATGAAGAGGCAGAAAAAGCAGAGTTTGGTCAAAAGGAAGCAAACAAAAATGAAGGAAAACCAGCCAGAAGAAACAGAGGTAAAACATCTTGTTAATTTAACCAGGTACAGTAGGTTAAAATATATTGTGTGACTCGTGTTTGTGTAAATGCTGTCAAATGTCAAGCACTGCAGTTAACTGGATGAAAGTTCATGAATAAATCTGATTAAAGTAAACATTTAAAAGAATATTCTGGGTTCAATATACTGTAGGTTAAGTTCAATCCACATACTTTGTGGCATAATATTATTTACCACAAAAATAACTTTGGCTTGTCCCTATTTTTTTTTCTAATAAACATTTAGGTTAAGTGCTTACAATGAAAATGATTGGAGATCATTTTTTGAATATTTAATTACAGACATGTGCAGCTTTATAAAATTTTATAAAAGCACTCATACTCCTTCTTGTTAAAAGTTGTTTGTGACTTGAGCTGTTAATCTGTATAAATCACTGTTAGAGAGCTGTTTTAAGGTTTTAGCTATACGTTGTCAAGGATAGTTGTACAATTTGATATAGTTTTCCATAGAAAGGGTTAGTAACCACATTTTTCATATTAAAATCATGTTAACACATATTATTTATGTCTTGTGGCTTTATTGTTGAAACCTTGAGTATTTTAATGATTATAAATTGGTACCATTCATATCCATTGTAATTGGATTTAATTTAAGGTTTTTTGCTTTTTTTACTTGAACTGAATGCGGAATATTCCTATAAACTGAAAGACCAGACACATCCTATTTTACTGCATTGCAGGAACAGAATCAAATTGTGTTTTGAGCCTAATGTTTAAATGTAGATCATATAACCAGAGACAGGTGACTAGACATTGTGAGGTTGTAATGACTTCATGATAGGTTACCTTATCATCACTTGATCTTTGTGTAACAACTGTTGCCCGATTTTCAGAGGACCCATCAGATGACTTCTGCATGTCTGTGAAGGAGGACCACACAGAGGCCCCCATGGCGGAACTTCCTTGTAAGGGTGTTATGGGATCCTCTGGATCAGAGGTGATGCTTCAGAGCATCATCAAGGGAAACCCTGGGCCCAGAGGTAAGATATGTCAGACCTAAGCTACAGTATTATTGTCTGGGACTTTAAAATTATCTTATGACCACTTTGCATCAACATCTTCATGATCTTCTCATTTAGGACTAATACAAGAACGAGTTAGAGTGGAGACACTCTGTAATTAAATCATATAACATGGTTTGAAATGAGCACCCACCAAATGAAAATCACCCATTTCGGGTAATGCTGTCAACTTACTACTAGCCAATTTAAAGAGTTATGATTCATATATTAAATATGAATCTATAATTAGAAAAACCATCTCTATGAAATAGACAACATCAGTGGTTTGTAAAACCCTTAGAGGAAAGATAATGTAAAAGCTCTGAAGATTCAGCAGAAATCTTCAATTTATAAGTCATGAAGTAAATACTATTTTGTGCAGCATCTGTACAGATCTGTCTAGCATTAGCATGATCATCACTAAGCAACAAATGACTCACATGCTGGTTGATTTGTGTCATATGAGAAGAATTTCACAATAAGGAAATATATACAGGCCTATATAGATAGTGCCATTCAAAGATTTAAAAACACCCATGGTAAAAGAGGGTTTTGGACAATATCTGCATAAATTCTTTATCTTTATCAAAACAATTCATGAAAACAATCTTACATACCCTTATGAAAAACAAGTTTATTCAAGTGTGCTATTAGTATACTTCTTTTAAAAGTAAAAATAAGAAAGTATACTGTACTTACAGTCCACTTTTTCAATGTTCTTCTCAGAAATATACTTTATGTACTTCTCAGAAATATACTTAAAATTGCACTTAAGTATACTTGACTTATACTGATAGAATTATATTTGGCCTATAATTGTATGACTCTGATTAATGAGTCATACAGTCATAGGGAACCTCCACTTGAAGGGACGTGGTAAGCAGCTAAGGCCAAGATGACACCTTCAGTGTGGAGTGGGATAACCCAGTGGAGAGACGTTCCTGCAGGAAATCCAGCACTGTACCAACCGGGCAGTTAACTGGGTCCTGCTGGTGCTCTCCACACCCAGAGGTGAAAAGTTTCCACCTCGCAGCAAATAACTTCCTCGTGGCGGGAACTCTGGATTGGAGGATGGTCTCAACGACCTCAGTCGAGAGACCAGAATCTATGAGCTGGGCCCCCTCAGAGCCCACAGCCTCCATAGTTCTGGGCGGGGGTGAAGGATGGACCCGCTCGCCTGAGAGAGTAGGTCTCTCCTGATCAGTACCAGGGGAGAGCCGTTGAGCGGAGACACTAGGTCCGCAAACCATACTCGAGCCGGCCAGAACGGGGCAATTAGCAGAAGACTGAGCCCGTCCCGGCGAACCCTCTCCAGAACTCCCGGGAGCAGAGCTATCGGAGAAAATGCACAGACGTGACCTCGGCCACAGATGTACCATCGCATCCAACCCCAGCGGGGCTGGAGGGCTGAGAGAGAAACACAGAGGACAGTGTGATGTTTCTCGGGAAGCAAATAGGTCTACCTCGGCACGACCGAAATGTTCCCATAGGAGCTCCACCACCTCGGGGTAAAGACTCCATTACCCGGGCCTCGGCCCCTGTCTTGACAGGATGTCTGCCCCCTGATTTAAATATCACGGGAGATAAATAGCTCTCAGAGAAAGAATTCTCCCCTGGGACCAAAGGAGAATCTGACCTGCCAGTTTGTAAAGTGGACGAGGACGCAGACCCCCCTGATGGTTGATATCAGAGAGAGACCACCGATGTGTTTTCGGTTCGGACAAGAACATGGTGGCCCCTTAGGTCTGGGAGGAAGTGTTTCAGAGCCTGAAACACTGCCAACATCTCTAGACAATTTATGTGCCATAGACGGTGATTGTCTTTCCACAGACCCCGAGCCGGGCAACAACTCATGATCGCTCCCCAACCCGTGAGAGAGGCATCCGTCGTTAGCATAACGCGACGACAAGGAGCTCCCAACACAGGGCCTTGGGACAGAAAACAAGGATCTTTCCACATAACCAGGGCACAATGACACTGCATCAGCAGCCCCAGTGACCAGGGCCGTGGGAAGTAGGGGTGCTGAGGGTGCTGCAGCACCCCCTGGCGACAGCTGTTTCACTACATTGAAATTTAATATGACGTGACTTTAAATAAATTTGTTTTTCAACATGTTTTTTAAGAACACCTTCTACCTTTATAAAACGACTCTAACGATTATTTCATTTCCATATGTTGTCGAAGAGTTGTATAGAAATTATAGGCTGCCTATCATAAGGCAAAAGTCGATCTCGCATAGAGTGAGTGGCATGACACTGGTTGAGGTCCAGCATGTCAAAATTGATTTGACACTCATTTTATGCATGTGAAAAAACTAAATACAGATGTCTTGATTAAAGCATTCTTTGGCATTAAGGGCTGTTCACAAAGAACGAGTTTTTCCATTACCCTCTGCTACTGTTCCAAATGCTTTTCACTGTGAACGCGCACGCAACTGTTGCGCTCACGTCTTGCGAATGAAACCTCATTCTCAAAACGCGGCACTCAAGTTAAAATAAGTTCAACAAAAATGCACCTCGAGACCTTGCATTCCCCCAAATTCGCCTGTATGTGGTGTAATGGTAGTTAATGTAATGGTCAAGTCAAGTGGAAGAACATTAGACTAACGTGCAAGAGTTTCTGAGTTCTATCCACACTCGCATAGTTTTTTTCCCCCCTCATTAAAACCGATTATGTTTATCAGTTGTTGTCAAGCAGGGACATGACAAAATGTTTGAATGCATTTTCCTTAGTGGTTTCACCGGTACGAATAGAGATTTCTCCGCAACTGATCAAGCTCGTGTCCGTGTGAAGATGTTCCTTGTGGCTGCGCGAGCCACAAGAGAACACTATCAGCACAGCACTGAGTCAACGAGTAGCCTACTATGATCACTTGATTTTAAAAAATAACACATTTCAGCGTGCTATTTCTCCTCTTATTTAACAAATGAATGTTCTGCTAGACTAGTTAACCGGATTTGTTTTATTTATTTGTATTGGTACATCCACGCCGCGAGATGTTTAAAAGTGCTGGGGACAATATCGACTCTGGCAAAAAGTGGTGGAGAAATTCCCAAATAATAATTATTAATAATTATGATAGTAGTAAAAGGTGTTTCTGGTTTGTTTGTTTTTTTTGTTTTTTTTTTTGCGTCAAAATATTTCTCAAACGGCAGTGCAAACCCCCTGATGACCCAATGCCCCTCCAGTAGATCTGCTCTGGCGCCGACTCTGTCAAGCCACGCCCATTAAGCCCCGCCCCCAGCACCCCCATGATAAAATATGTTCCCACGACCATGCCAGTGACACACACTTTGAGAGGGATGAACTATGAAAGGCAGCCTCCTGTTTTTTTCTTTTTCTGAATACTCTCCGTGACAGAGTGAATAGAGTCACCGAAGAGGCCTGCAGGTGAAACAGGAGCATTTAAAAGAATGAGTCTTGTCTTTTTCTTTCATCGAGGTCTGACTCAACCATACTGTAAGTGCCTTTCTGTGGCCACCATGACTGCCATAGACCGGCCAATAGATTTAGCGGTCTCTCTGGTGGCCCGGAGAGTGAGATCAGCAGTCTGCCTGAGCTCAGTAATCATATCTGCCGAAATTTCTCCCCCCTCACACACATCTTTAAGCAGGTCGGCCTGATAAGCCTGCATAATGGCCATTGTATGCAAACAGATCAGTTGGCCATTCAATACTGAGCTTTTCAACAGCACGAGATAACACATCCATCAAACTTTCTTCATTTGCAGTATAATCTGACAAACTAGTTTCCTCTGATGCAAAACTTTCGACATCCAGCTCCTCAGAACTGGATAATCTCAATTCAACATCATCATGTGCCTCCACCCAGGCAGAAGTAACCGCCGCAGCGCGTGCTTCCAGAGCCAGGTGAGAGGCACTGGATCCCGCCGGAGAAAGCTGAGATAGGGTGGGGCCCGTCTCAACGTCGTGAGATCCATCTGCAAACCCCAAGACAAGCGCCGCCGCTCTGCCTCAACAGAAGCGGGACCTGAGCCTTGGGGAGCTCGCAGCATACCGCTCTCCTCGAAGAGCGATCGCCATGAGCGCCGAGTTCTCAGAGGAAAGCGCTCGCAATGCTCACAATCAACTCCCTCAAGAGCCGACTGGGCATGCTGCACTCCCAAACAAGCCACACATAGCTCGTGTGGATCCCCACCTGTGATTTATTGTGTACAGGGGGGAATACACTTCCTATAATGCTCGTTCATATTGTTTTTTTAATAGATAAATAAATATATATAGTGATGAACTCCTGACAGAACAGACAAACACAATCAAAAGATTTCAGACACACACAGAGAGCTTGCTGAAGTAACAGAAGCTGGCGGCTCGTGTATTCAGGGGATATTTATAGCTTCCTGGTCGATGACGTCACTCGCTGTGACACTCCATCTCTCCATTGACTGGGGGGCGTTCCCACTGCGATTACACGCAGCGGTAGTCCCTGAAGGGGAACTTTATAACAATGCAAAGGAAATTGAGGATTTGAAAAAAAAGAAGTGATGGTGAGCTTAACTTTTAAAACAGGACATATACATTTGTTTAGAGAATTGTCAGGACAAGTTTACTTCTGCTTAAATGCTGTGACACCTTTCAACAAAGCAATGTTCCTGGAATTTTCCATGAAGCCACAGTGTCTGTTCCATGCTGAGGCCATTGCCTTTTCATCAGTGGAAACAAATTTATTGGATCAGGGACCACGTGGTAAATCTATTATCTCCCCAGCTGTGGTCAGTTATCTCACTCTGTGCCATCTGCTTTTGTTCACTGGCCAAAATCCTCTGCAGTTTTTCTCTTCTGTTGCCAACCATTACACTGTTATTACAACATTAATGGTAGGAAATAAAAACACAAGTGCAGTAATGAACTGTGAAAGTAAGAGTGGGTGGAATTAAATTACTAACATTAAGTATTTTAACATTAAGTATATATACAATGCATTTTATTGTGATGATGTTGATAGCAAAATAAATATAGTAATAATATCTGCATCAAGATTTTTTCCCCAATAATAGGACCAATTTTAAGACCAATTAATTATTTTTGAAAATTATCTGCATAATAAGTACAGTGAAAAGTTTAATCACATGATACACCTACAACTATGGTATACATAAAACTACATCTCTAATACTCTAGCTAATACTCACAAGGTGACAGAATGTCTGTTACTGTATCTGTTGATTTGTAGTTGAATAGACTACAATCACAAAATAAATTCACTACAATCACAAAATAAATTTAAGATGCAGTGAATTCACAAATTCACTGCATCTTAAAGGTAGGGTATGTGGTTTTCGGAGAGGCTAGCAAAAGCGAGCTAACTTTGAAAGCACAATATCCCACCCTCCCTTCAGAGCGTTTTAAAAACCACGCCTCCTCCAAAACACGAACTTCCTCATGTCTCAAAGCACATAACATTACAATAATAATGAACATAAACACCTTAAAAGAGCACTGACCTGTATCACCTGACTGCTGCAGATTCATTTCTCCATTGACAGTACTGCCATTGAAACGCATAAATCTGAGTTATAAATGCAGCATTAGCGCAATGTTTTGGTTCAGGAGGAACTGTAAAAGTTTTGGTTTGTGGTGCTCAGTAACTAACATCTGTCTAACTCTAGATAGCATCAAAGACACAGCTGACTTGTGACACTGTGAAAGAAAGCAGGGTTCGCGAAGGTGAGAAATATATACGTTGACAGGCAGGGAGGACATTGTCCTTTTGGAATTAGAGCAATGATTACATGAACATTTTATGGTCCTACACCTTCCACAGACCATACATACATTACATTTAGACTACTTGATTTCTGTCAGGATCAGAAGAGACTTTCAACCAGCATAACAAAGAGAAAATTCTGGAACAAATCACATGCTTTTAATATTGTCAATAAATGTTGATATTTCTGCAAGTAATTCTAATTCAAGCTGAGGCTTGAACTTCAGATTGATCATGAATGGTAACTGTTCTTTTCTGCCTAGCAGCTACTGCGGAGTCATCTCTGACCATTGTCAGACCTATGCAGGATGTGAAAGTCAAGGCAGGAGAGATAGCCTTGTTTGAATCTTGCGTAACTGGGCCACAGGCTTTGGATGTTGATTGGCTAGCCAATGGGAAGTTGATACAGCCAGCACTATTTGATTGTAAGATGCAGTTTGATGGACATCGATGCCATCTTCTGTTTAAATCTGCACATGAAGACTACAGTGGAAGCTATACTTGCAAAGTCAGTTCAGCAAAAGGTAGGAATCATACCAACTGTGAATAGTGAGCATAGCATGTGTTACATCATATATGCATCAGTAATAGGCTATATATAATATAATATAATTAATATTGTTTTCCAGTATTTGCTTGGATAACTTCTGATTGATATTAACAGTGCTTATTTTTCTTATGTGTATGGTACAGAAAATCTCTCTTGTACAGCTAATCTTCTGGTGATTCCATCTAAGGAGCCACTCTTTACACGGAAACTGGAGGTACTGGAGGCTACTGAGGGCTGGTCTGCACAATTTGATTGCAAAGTCAGTGGATTTCCCCCTCCTGAAGTGACCTGGACTCATTGTGGTAAAATAAAGAGTCAGCTCCAGAAGATTTTTTTTTTCTTTCTGAAATAACTGCTCTGGAACAAAAGCAACAAAAACATTTGTCAACACTGATTACAAATACATATTTTGTGTCCTAGAACAACCTGTGGTGGAGACTGATAATATTCGCATTCTCCGAGTAAATGGACATCACTCTTTGCTCATCACTAATGTTAACAAGGAGAGTGAGGGATTTTACACAGTAATTGCTCGAAATGTTCATGGACAAGCGGAGAGCTCTGCTGAACTCCATGTGCAGGAACCTCGACCTGCCATATGTACTCACATGTAAGAAGATCAACTTTTCTTATCAATGAATAATTAACATTCTTTATTCTTTTTCTGTCTCATTTGTTCGTTCATTTTGCGCTCAGGTCCAGGTTAGAAAAGATGCCATCAATCCCTGAGGAGCCTGAGGTGTCTGAGGGAGAGTTGGAACTCAAGACAATGCCAGACTTCATAAAACCTCTCAGTGACCTGGAAGTAGTTGAAGGGAAAGAAGCAGTATTGAAGTGCAGGGTAACAGGCATGCCATACCCTAAAATCATTTGGTTCCACAATGGCAAGATGATAGAGAGCACAGATGAAGTAAAGATGATACAGTGTAAGTCCACAAAAAAAAATTGTCAAAAGCATTGTAAAGGTCCCCCAACATGGGTTTTTTGTATTATTTTATAATGTTTCCTGGGTTGCCCTTATAATGTTAGTATGTTTTTTAGATCAAAAATAGTCATAATTTAGAAATAAAAGTCATTTTTCCTAGCCTGATTTTAGCCTCTGCTTAGAACGGTCTGTTTGAAGGGGCGTGTCTGCTGTGGGATTCAATGTAACCGCCCACTGCTGCGATTAGAAGACATGCTTGCATATGAAATAGCTACATATTACATATGAAACTCTCTTGAATACGTACTACAGGTATTATACATTTTTACTATTACAGATATCAAGATTACTGAATCGCATAGGCGTAATTTGCGGGTGGGAGGGTGGGACATGTCCCCACCACTTTTAGCCAGGGTTGATATTGTCCCCACCACTTTTGAACCATCTGTCGCGGCACAGATGTAAATTATACCAATAAATAAACAATCTCTAGTTAACTAGCAGAGCATTCATTTAGTTCGTTTCTTTAAATAAGAGGCGATCTAGCGCTGAAATGTGTTGCTTTTGAAAACAAGTGATCAAAGTGCTCGTTGCCGCTCGTAGTTCTCTTGTGGCTCGCGCTGTCGCACACAGTCTTCACACGGACTCGCGCTTTAATCCGTTGTGGAGACTCTATATTCGATCCGGTGAAATCACAAAGTAAAATGCACACAAACATACAACTGATAAACATAATCGGTTTTAATCAGAGATAGAAAAAAAATGATATGAGTGCGGATTAGAACCCAGAACCTCTGTCACGCTTGGCAAAAGTTCTGCCACTGGACTAATGAAATGTTTGTGTGTCATTGTCAGATCTCTGTATTTCATCACGTGAAAATTCTAGCCACAAACACATATTACATCTGCCCGATACAAGCCCGAAACTCGTCCGCTCTCGTCGAGATAAAAAGCTGCACTTGAACACATTGGGAGAACTACAGGCGACTGTCAGCTAAATGTGCGTTCTGCACCTGCGTTTAATAAGCCAATGGTCTATTTCTGCAGATATATTAGTCTATATTCGTCATTCAAAAAGGAAAACCGACGCTGCCGGCTGCAGATACACATAACGTAAACAAAGCAGCGCATGCTTACCGTATTGAATATCATCCTGCTAAACACTTTCTTTAAATAAGATTATTTTCATCCTACTCAAAGAAACGACGTGAAGTTGATAATAGTCTGGCTTGACTTACTGATGCATAAACAGTATCGAACGATTTTGAGAGAAATATTAACTAACCTGTCTTCTGCCCGTTTGGACCATACAAAACTTCTGGGAGTTGAGTTGGCTCATTTCCAGAGTAAATAAAATTAACCCATTGTTTCTTCAGAGGCTCGGATGAAGGAACTAAAAAATACTTTTGCGTTCATTTGTACATCCGAACACTGAGCAACTGCCATGCTTCGCTCGTTTGCAAGCCATGATATTTCTCGAGGAAAAACTCAAATCTCAAAGCTATTTCTCTAGGAAAAAATAAAATCGCGCCTGGGCGTGTTCGTACTTCCTGTTCCTAGCTCGTTTTCTCATCGTCGGGGCAAATTCTCTGGGCGGGCAAAGCAGAGAAAGGGGAGTAACCTTTCTCCTATATGACGTTATATAGGGGGAGATTCCAGATCAGCGCGTCTGAGATGCAGACGGATGCAGAGAAGAGAAAAATAGCCAAAGCTCAGTTTACACCGATTAAAAATTCTAGACACGAGGGGACCAAATACAGTCTAGGGGAACTCATATTAATGTTAAAAAACCTCAGAAAATGAAAATTTCATGTCAGGGGACCTTTAAAGGATATTAGTGGCCATAGTTCTAACTGGGAGGTTCTTATTCGTTTACTACATTTATTGTCTCCCGAATACGTCATCTTTAATCATATCCTATCATGTACCTCTTCTAGACAGGGATGTTCACAGTCTGGTCATTAATTCTGTGTGTCATGGCCACAGTGGTGTGTATAAATGTATCATCTCCAATAAAGTGGGGAAGGCTGCCTGCTATGCTCATCTATATGTTGCAGGTAAGATGGAACTTCCTCTCATATATAATAGTATTGTAATATTCATGTGTTTGCCTCACTAACATTGTAGCTTCATGACAGTTAGCCTTCCCGAGCCTCCTGATGGTCCTCCACTAATTGGATGTGTGACTGGGAAAACTGTCTCATTGAGCTGGAAAGGACCAAAAAACCTGGATCCATCCATGGGTAAGTTTGTTTGTCTTTTCTTAAACTATGCTGGCATGATAGTTCCTGTTATGTTTGTTTAAAGTTAGTGTATCATGTTCTATAATCTGTGATAATTAATTGAGAACTAGGGTAGAGTATGATTATGAGCAACTGCTCACCCCAGCCATTTCCTTGGTGGGTGCCGACACAAGACGGCCTTGGCAGACAGAATACAAATGGCTGAGGGCGGAAATATGCTAATACTGGACAGTCCATCAGTGGTCGTGGACAGAGCATGAGCAATGACATCATGTTGCTCAGAAAATCCAAACGGCTTGATTATTGAGAGTGTTTAGGCTTTTTGAGGATAAAAAAAGAGGAAATGGATTTTTTCATTGTTGGGTGGTTGTGTCTACAGACTGCAAAGACACATTTGCATGCAAACTATGTAAAATCCCAGCTAACAAAGTTAGGTTCTGAGAACGTTTTTCTAACGTTCCATTTTGGTTGTGGGAACGTTAATTTAAAATGTTCTAAAAACGTGGAAATGTCCAGTTTGCTTAACGTTGCTGGAACGGTGTCTTAATGTTTGCAGAACGTTGCTGGAATGTTAGCATAATGTTGTTAGAATGTTATCCTAAGGTTAGCATAATGTTGCTGGAACGTTATGAGAACGTTTATCAAACACAAATAACCTGATAAAGACGTTCCGATAACGTTGTTCTAAGAACGTTTTTTATCAACGTAATGAGAACGTTCATCAAATACAAATAACGTGATAAAGACGTTCCAAGAACGTTGTTCTAAGAACGTTTTCTCTCAACGTTACAAGAACGTTAATAATGTTCTATGAACGTTCCGAAAACATTATTTTAATAACGTTTTGTCCTAACATTTACACAACTTTTAAAGAACGTTAGTGAATGTTCTGGGAACGTTCCCTGTTAGCTGGGATAGAATTTTGCATCTGATGACCCCTTTAAGTTGCCAGACACTGACAGCATTTTTGCTTATTTCCATGATTTCGGGTAACAACGATGATTTCAGGTAACATCAACTCGTTGAACTATGCTGATAACGGAACTTGCGACCATAGTTGGCTAACGATGCTTTCGGGAAATGCACCCCTGTTTCATTGACAATAGGTCTTGCCAGCCAATCTTGAATTGATCTCGAGCTGTGGTTAGAAGCATAGTTTCTACATTGCATGGCATGTGGACTTATTAAATCCTTATCTTGAGCAAAATAAGCAAGTTGACATTCAGTACCATCCATAGGCGCTCGAAAATAACGAGCACCCACCCACGTGTGCCAGACTGCCAGTAATATTCATTTAAAATTAAACATTGCAGTTGGTGCTATTTGAAGCGTCTGATTCCGCAGATTCCCGCTTCATCACCCACTATACAGTGACGTGCGTGTGTACGTGCGTTTGGTAATTAGAATCAGATTTCAGAGTGAGAATAAAATGGACAGATTTGTGTCACATTGATTCATAATTTCCCACGAAGCTGATCGCGGTTAGTTAAACTTTTCATCTCCAATCCTGTCTGTAGCCTATTTGTGAAAAGTGGCGCTGTCCTGAGTTGAAAGATAGCCTTACGGCTTTATTATCAAGTAAATAGTGTGTGTTCGTGTCGGCTGCTGTCCATTTCCCAAGGTTCTGAAATGCAAGCATTTTTTGACTACTTTTTTTTTTTTTTTTTAAAGGGCGTGTGCCCATGAGCACCCACGGAGGAAAACATAAATCGGCGCCTATGGTACCATCTGTGTCTTTTATTTATAATACATACAAATCATTTACATCCTTGAGTTTGTTAAGAGATTTAAAACACCGTTTTGAAGACTGCGCATGTGTGAACGTGCTCTACCTACAATGTAAGAAGTCGATCATTGAATCTGGAAATAAAGCGAAATTGAGAAAAAATGAATACTCCTCAGATGCCATGTCTGTCATTTATATCAAGTCAAGTCATCTTCATTTATATAGTGCTTTTAGTCACAGATGCTGAGGGATCCATTTGCAGCTTTTATTAGAATGGTCAACAGGCAGGGTAAAACAACAGCAAATAGATCAACGGAGAGAACACAGAGCAGAACGAGGTCACAGACAGAAGTCAGAGTAGAGAGTAATAGGCAAAGTCCAATAAGCAATCCAGGTCAAAGCAGACAGAGAACGATCAGAGCTCAGGTCGGGGTACACAGTCCTAATTCAGTAATCAAACAGAAACACACAGATAAATGCTTCGACTTGAAAGCCAGGGCATGGCAATACTTCACAGAGCAGTGGGGCGTGGAAGTGGCTTTTATGTGTGTGTGTGTGTGTGTGTGTGTGTGTGTGAATGAGGTGCAGGTGTGTGTGCAATCAGTGCAGTGCAGGTGTGTAGGGCAATCAGTCCCAGGTAAGAGGCATGATGGGATATTGAATTCATGACAGTTGCTGCGTCCCAATTCGCTTACTAATACTACGCCCAAAAGTATGTGCTCTTTTTGTGAAGAAAAAGTACATACTTTTGAGTGTGTAGCAAAACAGTAGGCAAGCAATTGGGACATACTAGCATGTCATCTTTAACGGACAGCTCTGTCGCGTGCTGTGTGCATCCTGTCACTGTAAACTGCCCTGTCAATCATCTTGTCACAGTTAAAATACTCCATTCTATGGAGCACGTTCATCTGCCAGTCGTAGGTATTTCCAGCCCGATCTCATGAAAGTTTGTATCTATGGCACGAATGTCATTTCTCGTGGCATTTATACGCCAAAAACAGTTTTTGCGTGTATATGGCACGCGATTTTCGCGTACATATGATACGCACTTTTTTGCGTATAATACGCACGAACTCCCCAACCCCCTCCCCCCTAAACCTAACCCAGGGTTTTTTAGTGCGTACCATATACACGAAAAAAACACTTTTGGCGTATAAATGCCACGAGAAATGACACTCGTGGTATAGATACGCATCTTTATGAGACTGTGTTGGTATTTCATGAGGAGACTCTCCTTGTGTTTGAGTCCAGTGTGTGGGAACATTTTGGATTTCATGTTATGATATTTTAATATAACGCTACAGTGGCACCTTATGTTTAGATAAGAGCTTCAGTCAAATGTTTCCAAATCCTGCACTTTCATTTCAAGTGAAAAAAAGTACCCTCACTCTCTGGGAATAGAAGCATTGTTGATACTGTCTTTTGTGTTGAGGTTGAACTTATGTTTCACTTTATGTTTATGGCCTTTGCTATTGCTATAGCCTAATTATAAGCAATGAAGTTTCATGTATATTGACTTATTCATAAAAGACAGTGTTTTATGAGTTCCTCTTTTTTTCTTTTAAAAGATAATTTTTGTAAGAGCTACAAAAGTTGCCAGTTGATAAATGCAAGTTAATTTCTTTGTGTAAATAAGATTTGTGTGATAAAAATGCACAAGTTCTTGTAGACATAGTGATACACATTCTCCTTTTTTTGCCAAATAAACGAAAAGCATGTCAATGTCTTCTCTCTTGCTGTGTCAAAATCTCACCTAGCTTTCCTCTGAGATAGTCCCAAAATGTGCTTAAAGTCAAAGAGTTAAATTCAGTTTGTGCATGATTGCATAAATATAATTTTTTTTATACTGTATCCTAAAGTGTGGATAATTAAGCTATATATCACATGCTGAAGTACATTTCTGGAGTGTTAAAGATTAAAAGAAACAAATAACAAGAACCGTACAGAACCGAAAACCGTGACTCTAAAACCGTGATACAAACCGAACCGTCGGTTTCGTGAACCGTGCCACCCCTAATATATATATATATATATATATATATATAAGAAGAGTTCAGATGCAAAAGCCTCTAAATGCCATTTGAAATTTTCTTCTTTAATGATGATTTTTATCAAACTTGTATATTTAAGTTCAGTAATTTCATTTAAACAACAATTAATAGGTAATTATCATTGCCATTTAAGTGAAATCACTGAACTTAAATATACAAGTTTGATAAAAATCATCATTAAAGAAGAAAATTTCAAATGGCATTTAGAGGCTTTTGCATCTGAGCTCTTCATATATAAACGTGTGGTTACACACTATACAAACAAGGTTTAAATTTTATACACAGACATCCTACGACGACGACGACAACAACTTTAGATGCATTTGTTGTTGAATTGTCTGACATCGACTGAAAAGAATATTTGCTCAAAAATCATAAAATACACTTACTGTTACTGGAGGTGTCGGTGGATCGCAAACAGTAGATGACGATCCACAGTTGAGGATTAACTTTTAAGCCACAACAACAGGATTAACCCACGACAGAACATTTATGTTTCCAAGAGACATTACCGCTGTCGTTGAAACAATGGAGGATGGTGTACAGATCACCGAGGGCGGGGTCTCTTCCACATCCACACTGTCAATCAAACCCCTTGCTCAATTTTACGTCACAAAGCGCTGAATCTTAGAACAGCTCGTTCTGAGACAGTGGATATGATTTATTGAGATTGTAAAAAAAACACTGGGTGGATTTTTATCGTTTTAGGGTGGTTTTGCTCACACACTGCCAACACACATTTATGTTCAAACACCATGTAAAAGTGAATTTTCCATAATAGATGCCCTTTAAGTTCTCTCTACGCAAACTTTAAAACGCGAACCTGTGAGAGCGCTGATGGCATGCACATGCGCTAAGAGTTCATTCTAGGTATGCGCGTTTGAATATATGTGCGCAGGCATGTAGTCCTTCCCTAAAAATAAACAACCCTCAACAAACTACTTGGCTGGCCTTAAAATTTATAATAGAGAATGTTATCGCTTCGGCATAGCCACGTGAACCGTAATTATCCCGATAACAATTATCTGTACAGAGGTAAAGGGAAGGAGGCCTTCACAGGAGGGGACTAGATACCGGCCTGGATACTAGGCTGCAGTAAACCTCGGGATAAACAGAGACACTAATTTTAACATAGATGCCATTCTTCTTATGATTTAACGAGTACATCAGGATTTATGGGAAGTGTTCCAAGTTCCG